GGGGGGGTGCCGGCGGTCGCTTTCACTCGCTCTCTTTTTTTCTCTTTCTCTCTCCCTAGTGAGTACACATGCCCCCTGGCCAAAATGTTTTAGTAAAAAATACCTAATAAACTTATATTTTAATGTTTTCAATGACTTTGCAAACTTTCCTTACTCCTTACATAGTATTTACATTCCAAGTAGGGAAACTCAGCCTCTGCCCCTCTGTTGACTACATTGCTTCCTTTTTCATTTATAATTTTACTTCTAAATACAAGTTTCTCACCAGCAGTTTGTAGCATGTTCTTTTCAGTGGAAATTCTGATATAAATTAGCTTTCTTGATTCAGCTTTGCCTGATTGCTATTTGCCACAAATTGTGCTTTGAGCTCTGAGAGGGGAAACTTTCTGGGAGGAATCTGATTAGCTTGGTATGTTACATGATTATTATTATTTTTTTTTACCCTATCAGTCATTGCTTTTATTATGATATTTTTTCATTTTTTATTTTTTTATTATTATCATAATCTTCTTTATATTACATTGGATTACATATAACTACAGTGTATTACATTGCTTTTTCAAAAGGGAATGCCACGCATGTCAGTCAATACAGAGACATTAATCTCCCCACTTCAACATTCAATATCTTTTCTATGTTTTCCCCAATCAGTATTATTATTATTCTAATTATTTTTTAAAACAGTCAATTGCTGTTTCTCATTTTGCTTGTAAAAATACTTTGCCCATCGTGATTATTGAAAAAGTATTCTCGTGAAAGACATGTGACAATCTAGATTAGATCCATTAATGAACTACAAGTAAGTAGTATTGGTCAAGTTTTCATAATAATCCATTGAATGACTTCACACCACAGAACAGTTCTTAAATATTTCACTTTGAAAAGCATTTATAAAAATCTGTTAGGTAAATAAATATCTTAATATAAATGTTTGATAATCACCACAATATTGGGTTGTTGGGAAAGTCATGATGCATGTTTACATAGAAAAATACATCATGACTTTCCCAGTAACCTAATATTACTTCTTTGTTTTGGCCGTTTCTGTCAGTTATTTATTTATTTTTTTACTTCTAATAGGAAAACAAGAAAATAAAATAATAAGATCTTGTAAGCATGCAGAATCTACTTTACAAAACTCTTCATCTTGTAACAGAATCTTTTTTTTTAGACTAGAAGATCAATTCAGAAGTTATTAGAATGGGAAAATAACAGATTATACCACAAGGTAAGAAATCTTAAGCAATCCACTTATATATTTGCATTATTAAATTCTAAAAATAAGTAGTAAATGAGAATTTTCCAGGATACAAAGGAATGAATTAGAGAATTAATACTAAATTTTTAATTTCTGTTCTTTACAAGGTATTTCTTAATGCTACGTTTCCTGTCTTACATTTATTCTTAGATTGTTTTACATGATGATTCAAATGTTTATAATTAGTTTAAATTGATATAAAAAATCTTAACAAAATTGTACTTTCTTAGCTTGCTTTGCACTGGAAGTTGACCAAAAGGAAATGTGAAACTAGCAATATGATGGAGTATGTAAGTATGAGGTTTTTTTAAATTCTGTTATGTTGTAATTCTATTTTTTATTTCACCCTAAATGTAATATAATATGTGTATCATTTGTCAGCTGTCTTTTCTCCATTTTTCTCCTTAGTTAGAACTTTTGTCAGTAGGAACAGAGGTTTCCTTCTATCTTCTTTAGATTTATAGCCAACCTAAAACTATCTTAAGAGCTAAATATTGTTTAGATCTTAGTAATGTCTTAACAATATGCTCAGATGCAAACATTGTACCTTAACCTTTTTTTAACATTGGCATAAATCCATAGTATATGACAGTGGTGACAACTCTGTTGAACAAAATATTTGTAAATGTAAACTTGTCAAACTTGCATAAAATAGGAATTAACTTCTGAATTCTGGATTCATATCCCTGGCCTTTTTTATCTTTGCTCTCATTTATCTATTAGTGAAGAGACTGTAGGTTCTAATTATTTATACTAAAAGCTTATGTATGCCATCTTATCCATAAAACATAAATTCACATATAACCAATATGATCAGTTAAGCATCATTAATATTCAAAATAATATTAGATTTATCCACACTTCAAATTTCCCACAATGTAGTATCTATTTAATAATAAACATTATATTGGGACTGGCAGGTGGCATGGTGGTTAAGGTGGCTAGACTCCCACATGGCTGACCACAGTTCAAGTCCCAGACCTGGCAGCTTACTTTCTCACTTTCCTTCTCTCTCTCTCTCTCTGTCTGTCTCTGGTCAACTTCAAAAAAATAAATAAATAAAATGGTGACAATGAATAAAATAGAATTAAATCATTATTTTTAAAAATAAATAATAGGGACCAGCAGTTGGCGTAATGGCTGTCACCAGACTCCCATATAGTCGACCGCGGTTTGAGTCCCGGATCTAGTGGCTTGAACTCACACTGTGCGCCTGTGCACGTGTGCCCAAGATCCTGAGAGGAGAATGGAGGAGAAGGGATTGCAGTATGGCCATCCCCGCTGGGGGGGATGATTTTTCGCTTTCTGTCTGTCTGTCTCTGTCTTTCTGGAGAGTGCATGCGCCCTATAGCAAAAGCCTCTCTAAATAATAAATAAATAAATAAATAAATAAATAAATAAATAATATTACATTTGCAGTATATGAATAAGGATTTGTTATGGCATATGTCTTCATTTTGAATGTATGTCTTTATTTTGAAAATATGCACATGACTACATATCCAAAATCCACTATAGCTACAACTTTCAAAAATATCTAAGATTTTTTATTATTATTAGGTTTTCAAACCTTGTGATAATTGAAATGTTTTAATTAATTAATCCATTTGGACACTTTATTATTTTTCATAAAAAACTTTAAAAGATAGCAGTCACCAAATCATATCAGCTACTTTAATTGAAAAATACATAGATACAATATTAATGTGTTCTTTTCTAATCTATGTAAGAGAGTTTCAGTTATTTCTCCTTTGCTAAACAAAAAGGGGTTTGTGGGGAGAATATGATAATGAAATAAAGTTTGTTCCCATGAACCTAAACAAATAGTTATTGTATATCAAAAAGTAAATGCTGTTAACCATAGTAAATAGTTTTTCAGTTTTAAATTTTAAATTTCTACTCTATTAAAAAATTGTGATAAGTTCTTTATATAGCCATTTCATATATTTCACTTACTTTTTATAGTGCATGATCAAATCCAGTCCTGTGAAGTGATTATAGATTTTCTGGATTGCATGTGAGTTATAGTAAGTAGAAAATATTTGTCAACATATTATTGTTTGTTTATTGTTTGTTTTTATTTTACAGGTAATATAAATAGAATTCTTACCAAAATATCCCATATTCCGACCTGACTGAGAAGTTTTATCCAGTCACTTCTGTGTTACCTGTCATTTCCTACCCTTAGTGCCTTGTAGATGATTTTGGAATGAAGACGGTCTCCTTTGCTGTGTTCAACTTATTCTTTTTAATAGTAGAATATTCTCACTCTTTTATTTGTGTTTAAGAAGAAAATTTGCACATCTTTTTTGTTAAATGAGGCTTGTGTTTTGCACTCTCAATTTTGAAATAAACACACATGTATGTGTGTGTGTATGTGTGTGTATGTGTGTATATATATATATATATATATACACACACACACACGTATATGTATATATATATAGTTGCCATTAAAGATAAAACATCAGTGCTGGTGTTTAAAAATCAAAAACTTACTCTGAGCATGCTGCCTTATCATTTTCATACCCAGTTTCTAAATATGCATCATTTTTCTAGGCTACTGTATGCTCTGAATTCCTGTACTGGACATACTTAAATAAGCTTTTGGTAGCTTTTAGAAATGGTTTTACTCTGCTTTTAAAGAACATACAATTAATAGCAATGGTTTTCTCCCGCTCTTTGCTAAATTATCATTTACGTTAGTGGATAAAATATTTAAACTCCTAAAGACTTGTATATATTGTCTCTTTGAGTAATGTAAAATGTGGTATGTCATGGTTTACAGAATGTAATATTACTCTTGCTGTATTGCCAACAATTCTACATAGATTTTAATACGAAGTTTGCAAGCATCTTCTTGAATGTAGAGACAAGTTAACATGCCTTTTTATGGCAAAGCTATAATATGTATGTTAAAAGTTCCAGGTACAGGGCTAGGTTGCCCTTTGTAATAAGTGGATTAAAATTGATGTCATGATCTCAGATATTCTGCATTGCACCTGAAACAAAAAAAACCTTATTTTTCACATTTACAATAGTTTCTATTTTGTTCTCCATTCCCACCCACCAAAAGAATTTATTTGACATCTGACACATTTCACAGCCTCATTATCCTTCATTCATATTTTGATTTGTATTCTTTCCCTCCATGGTTGAAAATATACCCAATTATGACTTTTAAGGAGTAATTTGAGATTTCAGATATCTTAGGAAGTATATGTACTCCCATGAATGCCACTGGTAATTCCTTTCTGAAATTCTGGCATTCTATTCTGAGAAAGAAAGAACTAATTGAGAGACTGTACCTAAAGAATATATAGTGACTGACTCATAATTGACAAAATATTCTGAATTCTGTTTTTGAGGATCATTTCTAAACTTTTAGATGTTACTAGTGAAGAAAGACAAGTATCTAGACAAAAGTATTTTAATTTATAAATTTACCACACATGTAGCCATTTTATTGATATGTGCATATTTCTCTTCACAATCAAGATGAGTGAGAATACCATACTCTAATTTTACTGGGATTTGAAATTTTAGCCTAACAAAAGCTTTATATCACATTAATCTATTTGTAAGGGTATGCCTGTGTATAGACAGTATTTGTAATGCAGTGTGCTAAAAAGAAATTAAAAGTATCTGGGACTGGGGTCAGCAGGTGGCATGGTGGTTAAGGCACTGGAATTCCCACATGGCTCACCATGGTTCGAGTCCTAGACCTGGTGGATTGCTTTCTCACTCTCCTCTCTCTCTCTCTCTCTCTGCCAAAAGTCAAGTGAAAATAAATAAATAAATAATTCTTGTAAAAAAAAAAAGTATCTGGGACTATAAAACCTTTTATTTGTCATCTTACTCTTACTGCTTTCAGTAAACTTTTTAGGTAAGCATTTATCTCAGTGAAGGAACATTTCTTCATATAAGGTCAAGCCTTTTTAAGCCACTTTTAAAACTTATGCTAAATTGAAATACACAATCTTTGACGAGAATAACAACAACAAAAAGTAAAAATAAAAGCAAAAGAAGCACTATTTGATCTGTGATTATAATTGCTTGCACACTTTTACACCTCCTTCTGTAGAGCTCTGTTATTGACATGCCACCTAGCCACCCCAGATCTCTAACTTTTAATATACTCTGTATGGCTGCAAATATCATGTGTCTGCCTGCTGCAAAATTGAAGGTGTATTTTTATAGACAAGGCGGAAACCTCTGAAAATAAATACCAAATGTCTTTCTTGTTTCATAGCTAAGGTCAGGGAAAAAATGTATCTGTGATTTATGTTCCATCTAATGTTATCAGATTTATGCTTCAAACTGTGATGTTTAAATACTGAATTTATTTCCTACACACTACAAACTTTCTAATTATCATGATAGAACAATTGCTTTTAATTTGTCAATTCTTAACAATGTTACTTTTTTCTGTATCCTTAGAATTTAACTTTATTGTGGTCATGGTAATTTTTTCTGCCATGTTTAAATTATACATGGTTTTGCTCCCCCCCCCAAAAAAAACAGCAGGAAGTGGTGAATTGTTTCCATGAAACAAATATTGAGACAGGAATAGACTGCATCTCAAGGTGACAAGAGTATTCAAGTTACAGCAGTATTTGTTACAAAAACCATTTGCCAGCATGTGTTCATTTTATTTATTTTTGTTTTATGTTTATAGTGATTTTTTCCTGTAGGCAATTTGTGCTCAACAGAGAGACAGAGAGAGGCAGAGAGACAGAAAGTGAGAAGTCACCCCCCAGGAGGGATGGCCATGCAGCAGTTCCTTCTCCATTCTCATCTCGGGGTCTTGAGCAATTACGTACACCCACCTGACGTGAATTTAAGTCGTCAGGTCCAAGACTCAAACTGTGGTCAGCTACATGGGAGTTCAGTGACGTAGCCATTACTCCATCTGCTGGTCCCAACGTGTGTTAATTTTAAAACCTACTCTAATCGCTCTTAAATTTATTATTTTATTTTTCATTATTTTGATTGATTCATCTTAGCTACACAAAACACACTATATTTTCTTTTTTCCTTTATATGAGTGCTTT